AACAACAACAACAACAATATACAGAAATATTTTTGAACGTGATTCGGAGATTTGTTGAAACATTCTTTGAAAATAAAAATGCCTACAATCGGTCGATCCGATTTTTATTTAATAGTGATTTTTGATCTATTTTTTAAACTATTTTTTATTAAATTATTCGATATTTTTAAAAATTGTATTAATTTGCTTTTGTGGAACTTTGGTCCATACCCTACAATAGGTAGTAGTGAACCTAATAGTATTTAAGTGAATTAAATCATAAAATTTCGATATCCATCGAAAATAATATTTATATTTTTTATTTTAAAGTTTTTTATATAGGTATACTGACAATCTTGGAGCATTTATACTAACATATTTAAAATTTTTTTATCTTTGTATCAACAATTTTGAACTTTATTTGATTTTTTATTTTTTTAGGTTGTTTAAAGCAATTTTTTGATAACCTTCGTTAAATCCTGAGGAATTTTTGAAAGATTGAGTGTATTGACACTTATTTTCTTTCTGTCGACTCTAGTGAGATGGATTTAAGTTTTGAGTTGTTTGTAATTTTTAGAATTCTGGTGGATTCATTGGCACCCTCTGTTAGGGAAGTCTTGATTTTGGTCCAATTAAAAGTAAAACGGTTCTAAATCTTGCAGTTCCACCATGAGATATGGATGTTTTTGAGGGCTATTGTACACAATCAGTTGAAAATTATTTTCCCTCTTCCAATGATTGTTATTTCTACGGTACGAATGCATCCAATTAATCGAAAAAATCAGGATGTGTACTTTGTCATTTTCTGATCGAAATCAGTTAGTAACACGTCATCATCTGTGTATGAATTGCCTTCGCAAAGCACACGAAATAAAAACGTGTGATAGTAATCGATATTGTTCGAAATGTAATCCATCTCATCACACTTTATTATATAGTGTTGATGCCAATTTCAATCCTGCGGCTCCGGCGAAATTAATTGCAACAACTAGTTTTTCCGTCAATCAGTCTTCTTCTTCGATAGAACAAAGTCTACCGTCTACATCAGCTAGGTGTGTACCACATCAGACCTTTCATTTAGCTCAAAATAAATCGGTATTGTTGGGAACAGCAATGGTTTTTATTGTATACCATGGCGTGTATTCTGTAAGGGTGCTTATAGATCCAGCTTCTGAGTCCTCCTCCTTATCTTAACGGCTTCAGAATCGATTGAAAATTCCATTCCATTTCCATTGCTGGTAATCACAACTCTTGCCATGTGAAATCTAAGGATAATGCTGCTGATTTGGAAATTCGTGGTTTCTCTCCTTTCGATCTAGCGATTCTTCTCTTTTGTGGCATGGACCACAGTGGCTTAGTGATCACAAGTCTGAATGGTTAATTCGTGATCTGTCGGTTCAAAACATTACGGGTCGAGCCTTTAAAATTACAAAACGCTATGTATGTGTATTTGTATGTTTCTCAACGAAAGATATACATTTGGAAGCAGAATGAGATCTATCCACAGCAAATCTCTTTCCAGCATTGTCAGACAGCGGTACGAATTTCACTGGAGCTTCTAGAAAATGTTCGGGAACAGTTTCTTCTAACTATGCAATTGGGTGGACTTTGGGAAACTGGAGTAAAAAGTTCAACTCTCGACCTCTTTGTCCCATGTCAGATAGTTCTACTTACCTCGTTGCTTTGACACCGGGATATTTTTTTTAAAGGTGCTCCATTAGTTGCCCCCAGAGCCGCATATAGCTGAACAACTTTTATATATAGTGAACAGGTTTCGAAAAGATCAGGCTTTAGCTCATCAATTTTGTTTGAGATGAAAAGTGGAGTATCTTAAAAGTTTGCACATGCGGAGTAAATAGGAATTTACTCAACGGGACGTTCAAGAAAATGATATTGTCCTAATCACAATATAATTTTCTTGAGCGCTTTCTCCTACGTCGTGGAAATTAGCGTCACCACGGTCTGTCTCTAGTCAAAGAAGTTTGATCTGCACAAGACGCCCATGGTGTTTTAACAGGGCACGGGAAGTTGTGATGGAACGTATCAAACTTATGCCAAAAACAGTTGAAGTAGCGAGAAAAAATATGTTTCTTTTTTAAACAAAATATGTTCCTTTTACGATATTAACTACACTTGTTGATCGTTATCCTAGTTAACATTAGTTCACATGATCCTAAAATCGTATTTATTGTCGTATAGTATCAGTTATAATATGTGAATAGTCCGGTTCTGGTTGAGGTGTTCTTAGTATGTATAAATATTTTTTCAAGATGTTTGGTGGATATTTGTGACAATATAAGTTTTATATTTCGTTTTTGCCACATCAATTATAGCGAATACATCTCAACTAATTATTTCTTTCGGAAGCCACACCTTATATATATATATATATATATATATATATATATATATATATATATATATATATATATATACATATATATATACATATATATATATATATATATATATATATATATATATATATATTGTGGCGGCGGCACCCTGGCGAAGCGGTCGTGTTTCTTTTCTCGACTTCTTACAATGTAAAATGTTGAAATATGTTGAGTATGACCGATTTTTAGTCGACGATAAATATATTCCCAACGATTCATCAAGTTATCATGAGAAAGTCCTGTGTCCCGAAACACTCTCAGGTTAGTTGCCTTAAAGTAACACAAAACTTCACACAAGTCGCAATATCAGCATATTTTTCCTGTGTACTCAACCAATTCCCACATTCCTATTTTCCACGCACTATCCCATATTCCACTATTAGCATAACTGGCGTTTATCAATATTCATCACGAGCTGCTGAGCGGACAACAGAAGCCGAGTGACAGAGCGATATCACTGCAGGTGGCTTATGTGAAGACTTTCTTAGGCTAAGAAAGAACTGTAATAATCAGTTATCAACTCACCCCACATTAAAAAAGCTCATGAAAATTTCTTAATATATCTAATCAATCCGAGTATTTCGAAGGATATTTAAATCACAAATCAGAAAAGAAAATTAAACAAAATCACCCTCAGTTTAACTGCGGGGGCAAAAAATAATACAATTCAACGAAGAAGTAAAATAAGTCACAAAGCGAGATATATATCTGGAAAGACCAAACCTATTTCATTATATTCACAAATACTTTTTTCAAAGAATGAGTGGAGTATTTGTTCTTTCATATTACCTCAAATAAAATTAAATAGAAATGTCTCCGAATATTTGGTAAGCATATAACACATGAAACTGAAAAAGTAATGTTACTTTTCCACCCCTGCCGACCGGGGGGCGAACCCCATTTACGCAGAGATCGCGTACACATCATAATCCGCATCTAAATGGGAATTTAGTAGGAAATTAAAACAGCTACAGAATCTAATTCATCAGCTAGTTTGTCAAATAATTAAACATGAATTTTAATTGTTTAACAATAAAATTATTCTAGATTTAATAACCTCTAAACTTATACAAAAATCTACATTATAGTACACAGAATTAAAGTCAACACACATTTTACTAAGAGGTTCGCCCATTGAAGAATTCCTGCGGTGAAAATTGGTATATAATAATATAATATACTAGATCTAAACGGAACATTAATTCTAACAGATGAGTGTAGGTACACTTTGTTAAGCACTTCAAAATAAACTATTTCATATCATAGTTTGCATTGCTAAAACTATTATAATTTTTCATTTTGGGAAATCAAAATATGTATTAATTTTTTATTTTATTCCCGATACCCGCCACATACAACGTCAATTGGCGAAAGTCTATGAATGGTGGACAAAACAATAAGGTTGAAAGACATATAATCTTGTGAAGGAATCAATACGTCTCTAAGGAATATCATTTTGTGAAAAGCTAAATAATGTGGAAAATTCGAAGGGCAGTTGGTTCATGGAACATTAATTGAAGTAAATGAATTGTGAAAATCCAGTAAAACCGCAGGGAATAGCGTCCTGTGAATAGTCATCAATACACCTCGTGGAAAGATATTTGAAAGCGGATAAATATATTTATATCATTGGAATCCGACCACCAAGTGCATTAAAAATCAACTATCATTATTTTTTCTATTTGTCCATTACATATTCATTTCCTATTTATTGTGTGAACTCCTTCACCGAAGTATTAACATCTTAAGGTCGCCACAACAAATAGGTCAAGATCCAAACAAAAATAATTTATCGGCTAGTGACGGTACATTAGTTTCTAATTCGAATGCACAATTGGTGTCATCCAGTAGTTCTAGTATGACGAACGAGTCGAGTGGATTTGAGGTTTCTGTCGCTTCAATAAAGCTTCCGGGGCTTTGGACAAATTGTCCAGAGACATACATGGTTTATTCATGCTGAGATGCAATTCGCAACTAAAGGAATCACTTTGGATAAAACTAAAAATGAATATGTTGTTACAGCTTTACCTCAGGAGATGATAATGTCTGTTTTAGATGTTATTCGCAACCCGAGAAATAACAACACTATATTTTTCCTTAAATTGAATTTGTAGTCGGCCAGGACTTTCAACCAGGCTTCACTTGTACGAACTAGCATCTAAAACTCTATTTTACTTCACTGCTAATTTATATTTATTTTTGAAGTCAATGCTGTAACCCCTGGTTAAAGATAGATTCGTCTGTAAAATCTGGGTCATTGCGTCAAATTGCTTTGCCGTTGTGATTTTAACTCTAAATATGTGAAATTTTATCCTATTTACATATATAAAAATAAATATTTGTATGTATATATGTAGATTATTCTACTTCAAATTCATGTTATTTTAAAATTTGATTACTTTTTAATGTTCAATTCTGAATTTGGAGAAACTTTTTACGTGGTCGACAACAAAATCTTCACACATTTTACATCATTTGACTTATTAGAATGCCACTCGTGGTATGAAAAGTGTACCAGAATTTCATACAAAGCTGTAATTTATTGTATATGACACACAAATGTTGTTTTTATCCCAATATATTACAGTAGAAGATAAAAACATAATCTCCAATTATTTTTCTTACCCTCCTTTCTACTTTAACGCCCAGGTTTTCTTCGATCAAATCGTAATCGTCGTCTTCTAAGCGATCATCTAAGTCGTCATCGTCGTGTTTTTTACGTTTTTTTGAGGCATTCGAAGTGTCGGAATCTTCTCCCTCGGTTCCATCCTCCTCGATCGGATTATCGTCTATTAAATCCTTCAGTTCCTCACGAAGACGTTCTTCATCATCTATAACAAAAATTAAGACTTTTGAATTCAATAGTAACAAGTTTAAAGAAGACGATAATAATAGAATAAGCATAAACTAAAACTCATGTAAATACATACAGTAAAACGTTCTGCCCGCCCATCCATTATTGTAATATAGGTTGTATTCATTGTCACCGTTACTCTGGCTTTTGTTATTAACAATATACTTATAGATCTAGAGGTAACAGGGACAAAAGTAGTCGCATAGGCTGATGATGTCGTCCTATTAATTGCCGGGAAATTCCTGCAAACAATATCGGACCTAATGTAAGGAGCTCTAGTCACCCTATCACGGTGGGCGCGTCGCAATGGACTAGGCGTCAACCCATCAAAGACAGAGCTCGTCCTTTTCACCAAAAAACGGAAACAGCCCTGCTGGTCACGAGGAGCACTGAGGTCAACGGTCCGATGACTATATATGTCGATAGTCAAGCAGTACTAAAGGCCTTAAATTCTCTTACTATCAAGTCTAGGGTTGTTTTGAACTGCAGGGAAGCCTTGGAAAACACTGTGTTGTCCATCAAGCTTTGTTGGGTTCCTGGCCATTATAACATCACAGGTAACGAGACTGCAGACGAATTGGCCAGGCTAGGATCTGAATCAGTACAATTGAAGTAGACAACTCGGTTAAACCACCACTGTGCAATTTCCTACAGGTCATTCACAGACATTACTCTGAGAGAATCCAACAAAAATGGCTGGACGAAATGGGATGCAACATCTCCAAAAGAATCTGGCCGACCCTTTCAGAGAAGAGAACAAGATCGCTGATGTCATTGTCAAAACCTGACTTAAAACTTGTGGTGGGTATCATCACAGGTCATTGTAAGGTGAGGGCTATGACCTCGAAATGGGACAGCGACGACATTGACTATTGTAGGATCTGTCAAGATGAAGAAATCGAGACAGTCGAACACTTGCTCTGCCACTGCCCAGCACTCATTAATGTGAGACACAGACTAGTGGAAGAACTAGTGACACATGATCTGTCCTCTTTTTCTAACACTCACCCTATAGTAATCCTTCAATTAGCCAGAAGATTCAAGTGGCTAAAGGCGACACGGCAAACTCCTCAGCCGTAGATCACACTCTATAACTCTATCTCTTATCTTCACCTCTTCTTCCTAACCTAACCTTCATTGTCAAATCAAAATGGCGTTTGGTATATCAGTTAAGCGATATTCTTAAAATTGGTAAATATTTATTTAAGTTCATAAAGGTTGTCAAGTTCGGTGTCATGTGCATCTTCTCGGCATCGTTCGACTACATATAAGTATTAACCCCGAATATATTAACTTAAATAATTTATTTAGTTTGTGTACCCTGCACAACAAGACAAAGTCTTGTAAATTTCAGTAAATGCGTTGCTGATACCCTGTGAGAGATGTGGAAGAGAATTCCAAAGATGTAAGGCACCGATATAAAACTGCTACTCTGAAACCAGACTATGTCACCCCAGTGGTATAATAGTCCTTCCTCTGTTGGATCAAGTAAATTTTAATCTTTGAAAGAGGCATTTAGGTTTATTCTTAATGATCATTTAGTGTAGACATTGTAAAGATTTCATGTTAAGAAAGGCTTTGAAACTTAAACCATTTATGGAAATTGTGTATAGTGTATTGCGCTGTTATGAGCTACTTTTAATTTTCGGAAACTTATTGCATCACAATGGGCAATGAGTTCACAACCATAAAGCAATCTAGGAGCCAGATTGGTTTTTAGCAAGAAGGGAACGTATATTAAGTGGCGTATAAGAGCGTGTCAACCACAATACTGATTGTGAACGATTAGTGAGATAAGAAAAAATAGTTTTGTCGATAAGGCAGAAAAGCCAAAATATATCCGGAGTTTAAAACAAAGATTTTGGCTATCTAGTATATCGAAAGCTTTTGAGTGTCCAAGAACAAGAAAAATTGAGCCCAAACAATAGGGTCTCGTCATTAGTGACATATAATGAATTGTCAACTTGAATGGTTGGAATACTAACGACTGTTTAAATAACAAATCGTGCTTAGAAAAACATGAGGCAGAAACCTTATCATATAGGAGAATATTGTTGCGATTATTAACAAAGAACAAATCGGTGAGAGTGCTGACAGTGGAAGAAAAATGAGTAGGTTGTGGTGGTGTGTGAGACCATACAGTCTGTTAAAACATCATTATACAAACATTTTTGTCAATGGTTTCGACTTGAGGCGAAATTTAGCGATAAGGGATGTTTTTACTTCTCCCGCAGTTTTGTAAATAATTTTGCGCGTTTAGTTTTGTGACGCATATTGAGAAATATCAATCATATTCCGAAATTTGTCAATATTTTTTTGTTGTAGATACAGATTGGATCATTACTCTTATGATGCTTGATGTATACAATACTACGAAAGTTGTACACCGCATATGAGAATTAATAAATTAATGGCATCTTGACGGTGCTGGTAGTTGGCGTTTGAAAGGTTCTCACTCACATAATATTGGGAATTTGAGTTGAAACCGATTGAGTTTAACATGAGCTTATTGTTGTTCAACTTTTTGTATCTTGATAAAGACTTCATGAAAGAATTTCATTTCATTTATTTACATTCAATACAAATATAAAGCTTTAGTCTTTGAAGGGTTAATTTCCAACTTGTTAGATAACAATAGATTTGAATAGAATTGAAGAATACGATTGGAACACCAAAAAAATGTCATCTGCAAAAACGTAAGGATTACAGCTGCGAATAAAATAAGCAGTCGCGGACAGATCAGCGTTTTCTAGGGGGAGAGTCTCGGACTAAATACCCGAGTGCCTGTGATCCCTGGACTCGACGAGGCGACACTGGTGCCCCTAAACTATCCAGTCGGCGGCCTGGTCCATCGCAACGGACTCCCTATTGCTGGGGTGTTAAGTAAATCGTGCCCATCAGTATTCCAAGGTGTGCAGTCAGGGTACCGACTGTATTAGAACGGTTGCCTCGTCGATACCTGGGCACCTCGACGAGTAACAGGCTTAGTTGCCAAGTCCTTACCATGATATGGAGGCTATGTCATGGCGGACCTCGTCACCTCCACTGTCCAGATATCTTATGGAGAATCTTATTAACAACAAAACAACAAAAACCGACAAAAATTCAACCACCTCTTCGGAGGTGTCGACCCAGGACATGGCCACGGACAAGATCTTAACTTCGGGCGGGGACGTGACTCTGCAAACTTACCGAGACGTGGTATGCGAGAGCATACAGCGACAGAGCGAACAGCTGTCCGCCCTTCTAGAGAAGACCACTCTGAAGCTCAGCCAGGAGAGTGTGGTTTTGGGAATGACTCACCCCTCTCTGATGAGGAGCTCGACGTCACCGTCATACCCTCATCTTTGAGGGGTGAGTCAGTCCAAAATACTGAAAGGGACACTCAATCTAGTGCCAAGGCTAGGTCAACTCCTGTGAAAGGGGTTCCATCGGTACCTACCGGTGCGGCCAACCTCCGGGTCGAGGAAGGCGTCGTGGAAGGGGGCACTGATATTCCTATTAACCACGATGACTCCGGATCGAAGGAGGGAAAAAATAAGGTGAGGTATTGTAGAAGCTTCGTCGGTCGCGATCCCCTACAGATTACGGAGAGGGAAAAGGCCCTGATTAGGAGGAACCTAAAGGCAGTGCGGAAGTTCGAAAAGAACCACCCGGAACTGCCAAAATGTTCACTCGAAAAGGACCTTGCCTCTCTATTTACAGACCTCGCCAAGACGGTAAGTCCATCTGAGGACAAGCCAACTAACGATGCTGGGGTGGAGGGCAACACCACTCCCGACGATGGTAAGACAGCTTCGGCTGTTGCACCATCAACGAAATCAAATGAAGCCCCCCTTATCTAACGCAGGGAAAAGGAGGAACAAAAGGACGCCCCTAACGGAAATGCTGCCCCGGTGGATCCAAAGGAGGCCAAACCCTCTTCTCGTGTAACGATGAAGAGAGGACGGTCAACGGAGGAACCACACCCCGAGGCAAAGAAACCGTTAACGGGCAAACTTCCCCCTCCGCAAACTGCGTCTTCTACGCCAGTAGCTGGCAAGAAGACAGTGGCAAGACCGGTACAAACAGCCTCTGTGGACCCTAAGTCTGCTAAGGCTATGTCTGCTACCACAAACCCACAACCTTCGAGCCAGAATTCAAGGAAGAGGAAATATTCCCAAAAATTATACCCGGACAATCTCCGTGTAGCGGTCATCGACCGAGCTGAGCCGGAAGGCAAAATCAGTGAAAGTTGGTGGCTTCTCATTGAGAACCGTCTGAGGGGGCAGGTTTTCCTAGGGGATGATCCTTCTAGGCTACAGTTTGGCAGTGCTACCGTTTACAAGGGAGTGAAGGTCATCTGCTGCGAAAATGAGGAGTCGAAGGACTTTCTTGTGACCGCAGTAGCTGGCCTTCAGGGACTTGGGGATTGAAGTGCCTTTGCTGCTGTATCCCTGAAGGAAATCCCCTGCAGGAAGATATGACAGCATGGGTGCCGCCGCCCTCTGTGGACCCGTCACGCGTGCTGACAATATTGGGGAAACAAAATCCCAATCTCTGTACGGACAGCTGGCGCTGTCGAGACGCCACGGCGGTCAGATTGGAGACTCGGACGGGCAAAATTATCTTCCTTGTCTCCTTGTACCTACCCTTCGAATACCCCGACCCGCCAGGCCAAGTGGTAGAGGAGCTGGTCACAAAATTGGGTGGAAAAGGCGGTCTCATCGTTGGGTGTGATGCCAACGCTCACCACTCTCAATGGGGCAGCAGCAACACTAATGCCAGAGGTGAATCGGCCTAGTCAGCATCGTGGGGCGGAAGACGTAAGTCTGACTGATAGAATTGTAAACGCCCCCAAGATCTTGTGGGCCATAAACTCATTCAAACCTTTCAAGTCACCGGGTCCAGATGGCATTATCCCCGCTATGCTACAGCATGCGTCGACGGTGATAATACCATTCCTGGAAGTGATTTTTAAGGCATGTTTGCGTCTTT